GAGATAAAAGACAATAGGAAAACTGTATTATTAGCCGACACATTTTGTCCAATATGGACTTTTTCAAGGTAAAAACGAAATGAATTTATTGAAAACAAAGTAATTATAAATAACAAACAAAATGTCCTTAGCAGCTAGAAGAATTTAGAAAACACTATTGTATTCATATTGTCAACTGAAAATATATATATATATATATATATATATATATATATATATATATATATATATATATATATATATATATATATATTCTGATAGGAGGAGGAGGAAGAGGAAGGAAACAAAGCTGATTAATAGGTACACAGTCTGGGCCAGCCGTCATAGGCTCATAGCAAACGATTATACATTTCCCTTTCTCAGCCAGCTCGATCAATATTAAACATATAAAAATGAAAAAATATCATAAAAATATAAACAGTAAATTGTTGATATCCCCTGAAGAGTCAGCAGACAGGTATATCTACAAAACCCTGGAGATGGGATGCTGAATGTAACATCAATCAGCTAAATGACAAACTTTTAAAACTACATGCAGTTTTCTTATTGTTTTTTCCTTCATATATATATATATATATATATATATATATATATATATAAAAATAAAAGAAATATAAAAGTGAACATAGAAGTCAAGCCTTAGAGGTGACAGTCTGTTTCATGCTAGATGTAATCGTCAGGCCTATATTCACTTTTATATTTACACACGCTCTATCTCTGATATTGAGCACTTTATCCCATAAATATAGCACATCTTAAGACTATATTTCTTTTATATATATATATATATATATATATATATATATATATATATAATATATATATTAATGGAGTCTACCATCATTTTTGATGTATGAGTGTCTTTCAGTTCAGTTTTTATGTTTGTGTCTTTTATGAGGCAATAATCCTGCATGGGATTTGAAAACAAGTCCACACGAGTGACATGCTGAAGGGTTGAACATCATATAGGCTGATATATTGGCCTGAGATTTAGTGTTGGTTCTTAATTCTCTTAGATGGCTGAGATGATTCTTTTCAAAATTAGTTATACCTCGGTGCCAGGTGTTTCTCCAGTTTGCTCAATTTTTAACAGCAAGTCAAACTTCTCTATAGTGATGTTTGCAACATTTAAATTGTATTTAAGTTTGTCCTTGAAGTGTAACCAAGAACAGCCTACATTACACTTACCATGAAAAAGTTGGCTATACATAAGTGTTTTCGGCATCTGATGATCACTCATTCCAATGACATGACCAGCCCCTCTGAACTGTGATTGCATCAGAAAGGATTCAATATCACTGACACCACATTTGATGAAAAGATCAGGGTCAGAAATTTTGTTCTGTTGTGTATAACCGCATATTAAACAAAGCGTTTATGAAAAGCATCAAGTTCATTGATGTGCGTCCTGTATGGTGTCCACGATTCTGAGCCATAAAGAAGTGTGGTGAGAATGATTGCTCGATATACACTGATTTCCAAAGGCATTGGTTGCCTTTGATATTTGGTTAACTTAAATAATGGGTCACATTCTAGAAACTCTAAAAATAGACAAGCAAAAACAGTGCTGAGAGGATATCCCATTGGCAAACCAAATTTTTGTCTATAAAGGTGATTATCAAAAGTAAAGACACATTGCTTGGTGATTAGCTGGCATATTTTTATGATTCTATGTGTAGGTAGAGGTAATTTAATTTCTGTTTTTGTTAGGTATGTTTTTAGTTGATTTAGGCATTTCTCTGTAGGGACATTTGTGTATAGAGATTTTATGTCTAAACTAGCCATATATTTGTTTTTGATATCTATGTTTTTAATTTGTTTAGGAGGTCACCTGAATTTTTTTATGTGTGATGGACTAATAGTGTGCTATTCAAAACAACCTATCCCATCTAAATAATATCAAATGAATATAATCAAATTTAAAAACACCCATAACAATAATATTTCTGAAGCAGGCATATATAAAATAAATTGCCAAAACTGTTCCTCACAACACATTGGGGAAACATGAAGAAATTTTAAAAATCATATCTATGAACAAAAAAGGCCTCATAAATAACAATTTGACAAATACACTGGTCAAAGACATTTCACAGAGTCAGTGATTTTTTTTTTTTTTTACAATGATGTACAAGGCCTGGGAGCCACTTGAGGTAGAGTGTTACAGAGTAGGAGGCACAATTTATGCAGATATGTGAGAAAGATAATAGTTAACCCTGGATTTGAACAGGTTAAAATTGTAGTGATCAGGGAAGCAACCTATTGGGAGTTTGGTTCCACAAAGCTGCAGTACATGGATAGAATCTGCTTGATTGGAACTTACATCTCACCAATGGAACAAGAAGGGAATGAGAGTAGATCACTACAATGGGTGTGGCATGGCAGTCTTAACTGTGAAGCTAAAAACTGGTGGAAATAAGGAGTGTAGTTTGTCTGAGAACTTTTCATGAAAATAGCAATAAAACAGTGAGAGACTCGTGATGATTCGTCTGCAAGAAAGGGGGTCATAGGATAGAAAATAATTCATCACCCACAAGGACATGTAGACACTTTTAGATTCTATCAAGATTGGAAAGTGGAGACTAGGCAGCCTTTGCCAACCCAATGCAACAGTATTCCATCTTTGGCTTGATCTGGCTCTTGTAAAGTTAGAGAACAGCAGGAGTCAGGTGTTTACTGGAGTGGTACAGGGAACAGTGATGAACAGGAAAAATAAGAGGTAAAGATACAAGGCAAACCTACTTACGCTTCTCTTGGAGCATTGTATTTTCTCTGCCATTCAAATTTACACTCTTGATCAGGTTCTTCAATCTAAAATAGACAAAGAGATAGATATGAAAAGAATCATCATCCACAAATGTTATGTGAATTCTGTCATAGGAAAAACAAATAGACACATGAATAGTTAAATTTCTCTGGTATTTCATTCTCCGAAGCTTACGACAAATTTTTGTTAAGCCCAACAAATTGACAAGCGTTCTTTTTTTCTGTAAGATGGAACTACCTTGATAGGAGTAGAGACACAATTCAGATTCATTTATTTTCTACGGCTTATCAACTTTTTGCAGGTTATTTAAAGCCAGAAAATATTTTTAGAGTGTAAGAATTTTTTTCTGAGATAATAATGATTTTGTGATATAAATCTTATTTTAAGACATTTTTGATACATTCTTTTTTATAGATACAAATATTTAAGTAAATGCTTTGTTTATAATAAACAGTATTAAACAACATTTACCGACCTGAATGTCCAAGAAATGTATTAATGCTCTGTTTATTTTATACAGAAAATTTATTAAAATATTTGTATCGATAAAAAAGAATGTATAAACATAAAAATGTCTTAAAATAATTGTTGAACTTTGTCCATTTCATTATATAAATCTTACTAATTAACTTATAGCTGGGGGAGAGGAGGTGGATTCATACCTTTCCTAATGGTACTTGCACATAAGTGAATATAATGAACACAACTGGACTTAGAAGTCGGTTCTCCAATTAAAAATTTTGAGCCATTATCCATTACACCAGCCACATATCCAAGCATACAGCACCTGTTATTGTTAAATAATAGTTTCAGACTATTATTTTTTAGTGGCAGTGCATTTTGGCTCAGATCTTTTGAGGCTGACATTTAAGGTCAGATGGTAGACAAAATAGGGATGTTGATTTTGATTGGCTGAGCTAAATGTTGGAATGTTAGAGAGATAGTGTTTTAAGGGAGTTAAGTTTTATGTGTTGAAGAATGCAGATGGGTTAATTTCGTGTGTGGAAACTGCTCCCCAGTGGGTTAGGGTAGCAACCCCACTGGCTAATTAGATGTACATGTCGACATATTTAATAAAATAGATAAGTTAAAAATCCTTTTTGTTGAATTTCTCATTTTAGCTCCGAACAAACCAACTAGCAATCACCTGGCCGAGAGAAGAAAGAAAGGAAGGCAACTTTATCATGATCGCCTCAAGACCATTGCCTACCCCCAGCATGAAGGGGACATACAACACTATTCCTAAGCAGTCACCCATCTAAGTATTGACCAGGCTAGATTTTGCTTAACTTCAGTGATCATACTGGAACTGGTGTTTCAATATGATATAGCCATAAGCCCTACACAACAAGTTTGAAAAACACCACTATGAAATTTTTGGCTTTGATAAGGCAGAAAGGAAGAATTCATACAGTGTGACCCGGATATAAGAGAAACCCGGATATAAGAGACTTCTTCTCCGGTCCCGACAACTCTCTTATATCCGGGTTACACTGTAGTGACAAAATTAGACATCCGTGTAATAAAGGTATTTATCAAAAACCTGAAAGAATAAAACAATTTGACAAATACACTAGTCAAAGACACTTCACAGAGTCAGTGATTTTTTTTTTTTTTTTTTACGATGATGTACAAGGCCCGGGAGCCACTTGAAGTAGAGGGTTACAGAGTAGGAGGCACAGTTTATGCAGATACAAGGGACATAACTCTTACTACTTTATTCTTTATCTGCATCTTTATAAAGAGAAAAAAGATCTTTATGTTTGTTTACATGCTAACTTTGTTCAAATAATCTAGGAAATAAGTGACCTCTCCAATTGAACTTTAGGGAGATTTCACTATTTTGACTTGTTTGCCAAGTGTAACCTAGGGAGAGAACTTACCTAGATACTGACCAGGCTTGATGTTGCTTAACTTCAATGATCGTACAGGAACTGTTGTTAAACTAGAGAGCTTTGGGATACCTACTGTCATAATCAATAGAAATAACCTGATGGCAAGACTGAGAAGAAAATTGAACAAATTAGGGTAGGTAAAATTTTTTGCTAAAAATCTATCAATAACTTCAAAAAAGAGGCTATTTAATGTGGAGCATCAGAAAACAACCACACCAAGTGAAACTTGGTATAAAGTGGGTTTTTTTTTTATTTTTACAGAGACAGTTGCTAACCATTTTCCAAGATGGATAGCCATCTGCTATATTGTGCTGATGTGGAAAGACCACAACAGGCCTGCAAATGGACATTTGACATTTTTCAAACATTTCCCAAAGTGATAAGTGTTATGTTGAGTCTCAAATGGCCTCAGGATTCTAGAACTGGTCTTTGTGTTAACTCAAAATATTTGCCAAGTTATGATCATTTGAAGTTAATCAAAACTCACACATGTTAATTTTTACATGACCAGTTTTGCATTATCTGCATCTTTTTGCTAGGATAGTCATCTTGTTGAATGTTATAAGTGACAAACAGGTCTAACTCAAGACTTTTTAAAACAAAATGACTGATATATTTGGGGCCTACAAGACAAAATTCAATCAACAGAATCTTTGCCATATTTTGACTGCTTTTTCTGTCTCTGATTAACCAACTTTGAATAACACTAATATAAAATGCCTGAACCAACTTTTTTTTTTTTTACTTTTATAATTTAAATTCAGAAAGATATTTAAAATGTACTCAGTTCCTTTCAGACATTAAATTGATCATTACCTGCATTTGGTGTCATATGCCAAGCATCAAATATCACTTTTCAACAAAGCTTTCCTTGTATTTATGAGAAAATCATGATCTAGAACTCTCTTCATATATTTGTTTTTGAATTTTCTTTTGGTACTGAAAATCCCTGAAAAGAACTCTACATCTTTTCAGAAACACACAATTCCTAATAGTTAAGTTTTAATGTTTTTCCTTTCCTTTTCAGCTAAGTACACATTTTCTCCTTTTTATTATTAACCAATTATTAGTGACTATAAAGATACATGGAAATATCTCACTGTTGAAATTTATTTAATTTCTTCTACAAATTGGGGGAAAACCCCGTCATTTACACATAAAATATCTGGTTGTCAAACACTTTTAGTTGAGATAGTGACTGCAACATGTTATATCCATTTTTTAAGAAAAATTGGAAAATAGCTGTAGGTTTGACTCGGTAGTTAAGCACCTGACAGGCAGAATGAATTGAGAGATAAGAGTTCAACCGAGACTCACTTTGGTAAATAAGAAATAAAAAGAGAGAACTATTCTCCCAAATAGTCCAACACTGATTAAATCTGTGACACCCATATGGCCTCTAAAATTATGCAGGATAATCTTTTCCAATAATATTTTCCATGAATAAGGGACATAACTCTTACTACTTTATAATACACAATTCAAAAATCCCAGTCAACAGACTTTCCAAAAACAGATTTTTTTTTTTAATCCCTTCCTAGTCAGGCTCAGAATTTTACAATATTAACTATTTGAAGTCATATATGCTCCAATACTAGAATTTCATAAGCTTGTAATAAATGCAGGAAAAGAAACTTGTTGTGAATGGAGCCAAATCAGGAATATACAGTGTGGTACAGATAAATCCGGAAAGAATTCATGGATAATAAAAACAGCGCTTTTTATATAAAATATTAATATCCTTCAATGAAACTTTATACACAGGTACAAAAATCACTCGATATGGTTTTCTTCAGCAGCAACCACATTTATCCAGGTGGTACCAGATATTGGAGCAGGCCCTGGTGACATCATCCCTGTCCATGTTCTCCATGGCATCCCTGATGGCTGCCTTGAGAGCCTCCTTGGAGTTGTAGGGCATGCTGTTCACCTCACTCTCCAAGATGCCCAACACAAAATAGTAGAGAGGATTGCAGTCTGGCGATGAGGAGTAGTGGGCATGGGTTAGACCAGTGGTATGGTGAGCAAGTGGCGCCTCTTAAGCACAATAAGATTTATAATTCAAGTCCTGCTTGACAATGTGCATGATTGTTCGCCTGCTGGAGCCCATTTCCTTGGCGATTTTTCTTATGCTTTTGCTGAGGTTCTCTTTGACAACCTCAATGAGGAACTCTGGCATCTCGGTGGCACCAGAGCACTTCTTATGAGTCTTGTGTTCTGGCCTGAAATTGTCCTTGATGTCTAAGGCCCCATATGTCTTTACAATATCACAGACTTTGGTTTTAGGGTATTTGAGCCATTCAATGATTTCCGTGGCTTTGTGGCTGGCACAAAAGCTATCTGCAACAGCAGCACAATGATTGTATTCTGAAGACATGTCTATTACCAAGTACCTCATGCGTCAATGGCCAGGGAGCTACTGAGGTATAGTTTTTTCTAATGGTGTTCTTTAAACCTCACTATGCTGGAATGTCACAGCAGTGTTACCACATAAAAATTCCAGATTAATTTGCACCAAACTGTAGATGTACATCCAGTGTAGCAACCAAGAATTCTTTTATTAATATTCCTGGATGAAATGGAAGTGGCCATCTTATTCCCAAATATTAAAATTTCATAAATTTGTAATAAATGCACAAAAAGAAACATTTTTTTTTAATTGGGCCAAATATGGAACCAGTATAAAGTCCCAGTAACATTCGATAGACCATCTACCAATTCTTTTCTTAATATTCATGGTTGAAATAGAGGGGAGCATCTTTTTCTCAAATATTAAAATTTCATAAATTTGTAACAAATGCACAAAAAGAAACATTTTTTATGAATTGGGCCAAATAGTAAACCTGGATAAAAATTGGGCCAAATAGTAAACCTGGATAAAAATAGAGTTACATTTGATAGACAATCCAGCAAGGTTTTCATTAATAGTTTTTGTTGAAATTGCCAGGTCGGTGGCTTTTTACCTGCCATTAAATGTGTTGCATAAAACTTTAGATAATGTTGAAATGAATTTTAAGTGTGAATTCATAAAAAGTTTGGGAAGAGAAAAAAAAAAAGAAGACTCTCATAATTATAAAAAAAAAAAGTTCAAGAAAATAACTAAAAAAGGAGTGAAAGAAAAAAACGAGAGAAGGGTCTGGAGAGGGGGGTTAATTTTTTACTTCTTTCTTTTTCAGTCCTGGTGGTGCATCGTACATAAAGCTGAGACCAACTTTAGCCTTTTCATCACCGAGCAGAGCCCTGAAATCAAAAAAATGAAACAATTTTATAAACAAACGAAACATCACAGTCTTGAACATTTAATAAAACTAAACTTTTCTTCTCATTCCACTAAATTTAATAAGTTGCACACATACATGACTTTCACTGCCTGAGGCAACAAACAAATCCTGAGTTCAAATCATATTCTCATGTTCAGTAGACAGTGCAAAAGATGGCACAAGAAGAAGAAATTAACTAAGAAGAATTAAGACAAATGTTTGAACTTTTTGACCCCATCATTCACACACACCCTTTTACCTGCAAAACATTTATCATCAGTATTTGTCTATATTCCTGAGATGAGGTATTATGTACATTATTTAGACTATTATCCTCATCTCTGACGCCATATATATTACAACATTTCAGCCGTTGTACGCTCCGGCCTTCTTCAGGTGGTTGGAATGTCGAACTTAACCCATTATTTTGCTGACTGAGGTAGACTGTTCTAGTTCCACATGCCATGTTTTAATGGATGTCAGTTATCAATTATCTCCTGTTAATTTCCCTGAAAGTTCTCCACTGCCTTAACCTGGTATTGAACTCACACTCTTTGGGTCCTGTCACTGGATCTAACCAACACCTTTATCCACTGTGCCATGTGTCCTTGAGGACAGTGACAGGACCCAAAGAGTGTGAGTTCAATACCCGGTTAAGGCAGTGGAGAACTTTCAGAGGGGAATTAACAGGAGATAACTGATAACTGACATCCATTAAACATGACATGTGGAACTAGAACAGTTTACCCCAGTGAGTGAAATAAAGGGCTCAGTTGGACATTCCAACCACCTGAAGAAGGCCGGAGCGTACAATGGCTGAAACAATGTAATAAATATGACAACAGAGATGAGGACAATCGTCCGAATAATGTAAATAATGTACATTTATCATCATTATAAAAAAAATTATGAAAATAAAGATATTAAAAATGATTTTAAGAAATTAAATGAATCCTATAACCACTATTTAATACTGGTATATTACTTACCATATACCTACTTTTTCAGCCCCCTCTATGTGTGTGTGTCTGTGTGTGCATGCAGGATTGAGTGGTAATGGATGAGTTCTTGTGGTGAATGGGAAAATTTTAACGAAGGAATGGGTCGTGATTCTGATTAACTAGGACAGCTAATAAAGACCAGCCTCCCCCCATTTTCTCCTTTGGCCTTGTGCCACAATTTTGTATTTTTATGAAATTATATATACATATATATATATACACACACACACACACACATATATATTAGCTTTCTGACCATGAGACCCAGGTTCAATCGAATCTCACTACAGTTGATTCGTCAGGATGTTATCGGTCTGGAGGGAGATGATCCCAGCATGTGGCACCTTTGGAAAGTGTCTGAATAACATACCATGGTTCAACCCAAGCTTTGTGAGTGAAATGTGCCTGAGCGAGCATCTGAATTAGGGATTGGTTACCCGCCCTAGTAGAGGGGTATCCTTGAATACGAGTAGCCAGCTATATATATATATATATATATATATATATATATATATATATATATATATATATATATGGATGGATGGATGAGTACTTCTGTTTTTGATAAAATTATCTATACACACAACCTACAATCAAAATGTCACTTTCCAGCCCTCTCTCTAAGATCAGTGTAGTATTTGTGTACTTTGCCAATATTCAAAGTGTCAATTCTATGGCACTTCTACCTCGTGTCTGTGCACTCTCGGGCAGTGGGGAACAAACAGTGTGTCTCTAGATGGGGGATTATTATTGCTTTTTATATGAGGTGGGTATTTTATCAAACAGACTACTGATATTGGAAACGGGGGTTGGAACATGAATTTTTTAAGCACGCCCTTCTACAGATAGAAAAAAAAAAGGAAAAGCAACTGAAGTGAGAGAAAATAATTTTAAATAATAAAAATTCATTTTTACTAAAATGAAAGTAAACTTTTTTCATATCAGCAAACAAACAAAATTAAAAAAAAAAACAAAAACACCCATATACACATATGGTCGAAAACCATTGGCATATATCCAACCAAGTTGTACATTCAAAGCCTTACCTGTTGCCATATAACTCCTGTTCTTTCTGATACTGAGCAAGTAATTCTTCTTGTTTCTTTTTGTCGTATGTTGTCTTCTGTTCTGCAATCCATACCTACAAAATATTTCAACAATATCAGAGATTGATATATATCTGATGAAGGCCAGAGTGCACAACAGCTGAAACGTTGTGATAACAACAACAAATACAATGACAATAGTCTGAATGTAAATATCATAAACAATGATGACTCCTCATCCTAAAAATTCAGGCAGAAATTAGTGAATTGGTATGGTGAATTTAGTAACATAATAATTGTGAGTTCAATCCCTGGGTCGGGCAGTGTGTACTTAGACACACAGGATGAGCAATAACTGAACAGGACTAAAAGAACTAGAAATATGCAGTCAGGGTGGATCTGGGAACACTAACAATTAAGAAGTGGTTCCATGCTCCTCAAAACCTTCCTTGCTGTCAAATGTAGCTTATCATCTAACCCAAGACACGGATGTAGTTTATCGTCATACCCAGGATGGATATTGCTGTAGGTTAACTGCACCAGATCTGAAATATCTAAAATTAATTTTTTTATTAAATTTTATATAAAAGCTAATAGCAAAGTCCAGCTTACTAGGTAAATTCACTGAAAACTGATCCTCCTATAAAAGGCAAAACAAATACGTTCATACAAAGTTGCAGTGAGTTACAAATAATAATAATAGCAACCTGTTGTATTCATATGCAAATTTCCACCTTATAAATAGCAGTTGATACAGCTTGGGGCTAAACAAATCATAACCTTGAAGATGAAAGCTCTTTAGAATATTAATAGCTTTTTCACAGTCTGTACTTTCACTGGACAGTTCGTATACATCAGACAACATGTCATTTATAAGAATATTAAATGTCTCCCCTCCATATGTATGAGGGAGTTTAAAAATGTTCGATAACAATGATTCCCAATTTTCTCTGCCCCAGTAGTCTTACTATCTAGATCCAGAATTTGAGGTTTTAGTACCTTGTCCATTTAGATATCTGAACCAAGAAATAGTAGTGAATATTTTTAACTAATTATAGTTTACACCATTCTATTCACTATTTTTTCTCTAAGTAGTTTTGTCTTCAAGGTTAAGATTTGTTTAGCCATCAACTGTTATTTATAAGGTGAAGATTTGCATAGGAATACAAGATTCTGATACTTTACAACAAACCCTTTACCCATTCCCTTCAAATTCAGAGGACTAAGGAAAGACGGAAAAGAATTTGCAAGCCTATGTGAAATTTTCTTTGGACCAATGAAAATCTTGCCACCAAAAAAATTGACCAATGAGCTGAAAAGGAGGAGGAAATAAATGTGAAATTGTTTTTGGACCAATGAAAACCTTATCTTCAAAGAAATTAGTTGTTGAGCCAAGAAGAAGAAAGAAAAGAAAGTAGCGAGCCTAAGGGAAATTCCTTTTGATATAAAATGAGGAGAAAAATTAAATTAATCAGAGAAGAGTGTCTGAAGTCATGTGAAATGTTTTGTCTCTGTTCACTGTGTCCAGCATTGAAGTTCTTGCCTGTGTAAAATTAATCACTTCTTATATTATTGGTCTTAACCAACGACATGTCATGTCAAAGAATTTTCTCTCAATAATCCAACAAAGCTAAGTATTTAAAATTATCTCTTTTCATCTACTGTTGAATGTATGCAACCATATATCCCTTCTCTTACCTTTGTTTTAAACATTTCTGAATATTATTTTATTTTGTGTTAGATCATTTAATTTGTTGTATGAACATTTCCTCTTCAAGACAATTCATTAAAACTATAGACTTTAAAAATTTCTGATTTATTTCCCTGAAATGAGCTACTGACATAACTTCAAGTGTGTAAATTCAAAAATAAATTCATTATCTTGTTTTCTTAAAATAACCAGTGTGTTTCTTCATTATCTGCCTCCATTAATCTTCTTGGTGTGGGTAAATCAACTGTTCATTTTAACCCTTAAGCCCTGTGCCACTATAGTATTATATAAAGTTATGTAATTTTAGCTTCAGAAACATGGGGTTGTATTATACACAAGAAAATACAATACTCCAAATAATGAATTATCTTCATATTGCCCAGTTTCATATTTGTGAGTATACAGGAATTATATACCCACATTAAAACATGCCAAACTTTATTTTTGTCAAAAATGAATTTGACTGTTTTATTTTCTGAACATAGCACATCAACTCTAGAAACATACACACAACCTATACACTTGATTAAAAAGCAAAAATAAAATCATCCTTGATAATGGCTAAAAGTAAAACCGAAAGTGCTCAGAATTACAGAACATTTGGACAGTTTCTATGCACTCTGTGTCCAGAAAAGAAAACACTTGTTCGAACACAAGAAAAAAAAATTGTATGAAAGGCTTCATCGCAGCACCTTGTTTGTTGTCTTTAATAAACGTATAAATGATGGATTGCTGCCTAAATACACAATATATATATATATATATATACATGTGTGTGAATTTAATTTCATTCATTTTTTTTTTCACCCTTGGAAGTGTTGTTTGATGAACCAGGAAAAAAGAAATTCCTTGGGAAAATAAATTATAACCTATGGACCCTTAAAGTTGTCTGTTTTCATTATATATATATATATATAATAAAAAGGCTTAAACACTAATTCCATGGTCATGATTTATTCCATTGGAATCGTAAATACAATTATATATATGTGTGTGTGTGTGTGTAAATATATATATATATGTGTGTGTGTGTGTGTGTGTGTGTGTGTAAATATATATATATATATGTGTGTGTGTGTGTGTAAATATATATATATATATATGTGTGTGTGTGTGTGTGTGTAAATATGTGTGTGTGTGTGTGTGTGTTGAACTGGAGTACTATAAAATCATTTCACAAAAATTTAAACGGAATTTGAAGTGATTATTTTTGGGAGTGGCAGTACCTATATTTTCATCAAGACGACAGGCATGGTCCCATGTTTTTAGTGACAGACAGAAATTAAATAAGATAAATTATTTTATATTGTTGACAAGAGTTGACAGCGATGGTTATTATTATAAAATAATTAACGTACAGTAAACATTTTTCAAATTAGCCCATAAAATAGTCATAATAGTACGTATTTTTCCCGAAATCCGTTATAAATTTCGTGACGAAAGAAATTTTTCAAAAAATCTTACGATACGAAACAACAACAGCTTAAAATCGATGCATCTAAAGATATAGCACACAAAAAAAAGAAGAAATTTTCAATCTTATTTTTAACTAAAAATTCAACTTACCCGTTTGATGTTTTCTTTACTGGCAGGATGGAAAAACTTTTTTGTCATATAGTTATTAAATCCTTTCCCCATTTTGGCTTTTTTGTAGAATTAACAATATAATCCACTAATTAAAAGCCCAAAAAAATAAAGAACAGTATCTTGTGGATATAAAGAGAAAAAAAAATGTTAAAAAGTCGCAAATATAAGTCTCCTTCACCAATAAAAAATATGAGAGAAAATTGTAAACAACTCAATCGATACAAAAACGTAACAATGGCGTCAACCGGAAATAGTTTATTTATTTACTGCGGAACTACACTTTGAATTTACCCGGTTTCATCACAAGCGGAAAACGGTTTTGTTTCTTTGTTTCAAAAAATTGTTGTTTTTTTTCTAACGATATGCCACACATCACTGAGAGTGTATTTCTTTTTTCTTCTTTCTTTTTAAATATGTAAAAATTTTGGTATACTCGTTTTTCTGATTGATATTTTTAGGCAGTAATAACATTTTTACAACGTTAAAAATAGTTTATTAAAACACACAAAAAATGAATCATGGAGGCATTGTCATTCTCAAATTAAAACCTGGAGAACCGTTACTGTAAGTTTGACCCGATCTTCTGTATTTTTTATTTTTTTTAATCACTTCACTCCAAGCAAGGTGATAAAAGCTATTAAGATACAAGGGGTTATTCAACTGAGGAAAGAAACAGAGAGAACAGTTTTTAAAAAAAAAGGACACAGATGACTACGATTGACATTGCATTTAAATTTTTGAGGGTCTTAGTTGACAAGAAAGCGGGAAACTGGAACAGAGTTCTACAAAGCGAGAAGCACAGGAGAAGAAACTATCATCATAGAACTCGCGGTTCCATGTAGCAATTTGAAAATTGGAATTATGAGAACTACACAGTTGTTTACTTATAGAATTATCTGTCGCGTTCATGACGGAATTAAATATCGCTAGAAAATTTACAAGTGCCTGTTTCTTCTTCTGATTATTATTATTATTAGAAAGAGAGGGAAAAGAAGAAAAAAAAAGGAAGAAGAAAATGAAGAAAAATAATAAGAAAAAGAAAATGTAGAAGAAGAAATCGGAAAACCGAGTTAGAATTCCAATTGGGTTTGTTATACAGTGTAACCCGGATATAAGAGACCCGGATATAAGAGAAACCCGGATATAAGAGATATTTTCTCTGGTCTCAAATTAGAGCCTGTGTTAATGTATATAAAATAGACCAAACCCGCATATAAGAGAAACCCGGATATAAGAGACTTCTTCTCCGGTCCCGACAACTCTCTTATATCCGGGTTACACTGTATTCACTTAAGCGGAAATACACTTGGGAAAGGTTTCAATCCATCTCTTCTACTTCCATCTATAGGTTAAATTAGCAGAACTGACTTGGCCTTATGGCCTTCATCGGCAACAGTCTACCGTAGAAAGAAACGGCAATCTACTTGTATTTCTTCTTCTTCTTCTTCTTCTTCTTCTTCTTATTATTATTATTATTATTATTATTATTAGAAGAAGAAGAAGAAGAAGAAAGACAAAGGAAAAAAGAAGAAAAGAAAAAGACAATGAAGATTATGAGGATAGGGGGGTTGTTTAACATCCCGCTACCACTTTCTTATCAATGTTGAATTTTGTACAAATCTGTGCAAAAAGGAGGATCAAAAGCTTACCCAGCTTCATACAGATTTTCAGAAAATATCAGCTTCTAATTGGTTAATAAACACACAAATGGGCGTTGCAATCCACCCACATATAAATATTTTTCCTGCGCGTGACCAAGTCAAGTTTTCCCTCCATTTTCAGTGAGCCTGTCACGTGATCACATTAATTATAAATATCAGACACAAGCTCTCTCTCTATCTCTCTCTCTCTCTCTATCTCTCTCTCCCCTCCTCCTCCCACTTCTTCTTCTTCTTTGATTTCTCTCGCTACAAGATGTAGTTGTAAAAAGGATCCGTCTCGACCATGGGCGGTCAGACGTTAAAAGCATATTCACGCATGCACGTACGTACGAAATTTTCCAAGCTACATTACAAACACACAAACATTTCCAAACAAGCAATAAGAACTTTTCTCTTTGAAATACTCTTCTAAAGCTACAAGTTTATTCAACATTCTCGGTTTTATAATACATTCAACTTTTGTGAGCTCGGATAAAAAATATTAATTCAGTCAAAGGGACATAACACCAACACGTAACCTCTGCGCATGTACATCATTACACAAAAATAAATATAAATGTTGTTATAAAACCGTTTGTTCCTTCTTGTGTTTCATATTTTGTGGTATTTTACGTTAAATATAAATCGCGTGGTCATGTTAATAAACAGACATCTACAAATGGTCGTATAAATATTAAATTAACATACCATTACATGAGCGTGGCCGATGTAATGAAGTTGAAGTCCCAGAACAAAGTAACACAATTACCTAGAAATCGTATTATTATTTCTTCTTCTTCTTCTTCTTCTTCTTCTTGTCGTGTCCTTTCAGGACGTGGGCGATCACCTGTAGCTTATTTAAAAAAAAAAAAACTTTAATTAATCATTTAACTACAAGCAAGGTGACAAAGCCGCTAAGACGAAGAGCATTGCTGAAAGTGAAAGAATTTGAGAAAAAAATCATTATTAAGGAGAGCGGACATTAAAAGCACATGATTGAAGCGACAAGATAACGACTGACATTGCATTTTTGAAGATCAAAGTTGACGGGGAAAGCAAGAATCCGGGAGGGAGTTTCATAAATGAGAAGTGTGAGAGAATAAACTGTTAGCATAGAACTTATGGTTACATCTAACAATTTAAACTGTAAAATGATGAGACCTAACTGCCAATCAAGTAGAGCATTTAAATTCATAAATTCGAAGTACTAGAGTAGAAAGTTCATCAGAACAGATGTCATGAAAATATTTATAGAAAAGATAAAAGGAAGCCATGTTAATCGGTGAGAAAGTGACTGAAACCGAGATATCATTTCAAGATCCATAAGATTGCAGATTTTTCTTTGTAGTTTGTCCATTTACTATAGATTTTCATTGAATTCGGTTGGAGGCGATTACGCTTTTAACATCCGAAAACAAATTTCTCCTTTCTAAATACTGAGTGATGTCCCTTAGATTATGAAACCTTGTTTCATCTTTATGTGCTGCGTCTGTTTAGGACCTGTCTTGATCATAGCTTTCCTCTGGTGATAATTTCATTCAAGGAGATTAACTTACATTTAAAAATATAGCGGAAATAAATCATATTGAATTTTGGGCGCCATTTTTCGTTTTATTTCTGATTTATAACCAGCGTTACTATTTTGTTTATTTTTTGTTTACAAATTATCACAATATAAGGTTACAGTTATTTTTTATATATGAAAAAATGTCAAAATATGAAGCTGGGTAAAGAAAAATAAAGAAGAAAATTTATTATTTCAAATACCGTATTTTCTTGTGTATAAGACGAGTATAATACGACCCTGTGTTTCTGAAGCTAAAAATATGGAATAAATTACATACTTGTAAGTAGTTCGGTCGCCCAGTTTTTGCTTTTTTTTTAATTAAAAATCTGAATGCCCTAATTCGTAACAATGATAAAAATAAAGGAAACATGGTCTCATGCCTTTTAGATAAATCATCTGTATCTATGTACATGAATTCAAAAAAGTCTAAAATGGGTAAAAAATAGTATTTAGTAAAAATAGTAATTAGTCTTAAAGTCTTTGAGTAGTTAATCCACAGAAAAACAGTCGTTTCAAAAAAATCTTTTACTAGTTGGTCCACAATCAAAGCTGTGGGTGAAAAAAAAAACTTTGATCGTCAGCGAAGATTCACTGGCCGACCCTGCGGTTGCTGTTGGAGATGATATTTGAAATCGCCGACACACGTTTCTTTCAGCACGTGATGGAGGTGGGGGGAAGGGATGGAGGAACCATGTATCCACGTCTTCTTGTGTTTTTGAACGGAGTCGTATTTCTGTTCTTGAAAGTTGAAATCTGTGGGTTTTTGTAACAATTTTTTTTTTTTTTTTTTTTTTTTTTTACAGAAAGCAGGCTCGAGAAAAATAAGGTTTTTTTTTTTTTTTCTGACTGGTCAAATATTTCGCATGGTGACACACGGTGTGTGTCGTACTGCGTAATCTTTTTCGGGTGTTTGTAAATATTGTCTGTTATTGGGTAGAAAATAAAGTTTGGGGATGTTTTAATATGGTATGTACGTGGTATGTAATTTTGGGGGGAATTGGGTTTATTTCCTATATACTCACAATTTTATAAGGTTACAATTAATTTTCTATTTATGAAAAAATATCTAATCAGAATATGAGGTTAGGCAAATAAATGTGAAGAAGATAATTCAGTATTTGGAATACCGTATTTTCTTGTCTATATTACGACCCCCGTGTTTTTGAAGTTAAAATTACATCCTTAGTGGCGTAGGGCTTTGGGGTTAAAAAGAACAGTTGATTTACCCACGCCAAAAAAAAAATTAATGAAGGATGATAATAATGAGAAAACACATGGGTAATTTTAACAAAATTATATCAGGAATTTATTTACAAATTTACACGCTTGAAAGAATAAAGAAAAAAAACTCCTGCTCGGTGTGTTACAATAAAAGAAGAAAGTGTTTATTTACATATACAGAAAGAAAGGGTGAAGTGATAATGACAATTAGGAGTGAAAGAATGGGAGAAAAATATCCTTTAAGGGAAAAGAAAATGTTCATAACAGAAAAAAGGCTTGCTCAAAATATTTCTCTGAGCGCCTAAAGGTTCTTTAAGCGAGTAGAATTTTGTTTATGGTTAGAAACACTCACAGTTTTCCTCAAAGCTCTTGTAGAGTAGGAAAACGTTGGTAGATATAGGAATCTTACAGTTGAATGGGTTCGTAGGTCGACTACAGAAGTCCAGTGGACACGACAGACGGAGAGGTGAAAGGATGCAGCTTTCAATTGTTTTTTAATAGTGGGGTGACGGCCTTTCTTTCCAGCCCAACAGGAAGTTCTTCTTTGGTTGAAAGTGGTTCTGACATTAACTGGTGCTTTCTATTGTCGACCTTACAGACGGTGGGCCGAATTCTCACTGCCAAATAAGCGAAGAATCTCCAAATTCATGGAGATTTGGTAGGCTCAGAAGAATCGGGGACTTTTCCGTCCAAAATTGTTATACAAATTTCCTGGACCCTCTATTGGTCAGAAACCACATTCTTATCCCTGATAACAATAAAGGCTGTGGGAGCCGGTTTTGCAAGTAATTAAAACAGGATGGAGTGAACAAGCTGTGAGGTTTCCCCCAGACTTTTTGGCACCATGGAAAGAATAATGGTGGTAAAATTCCTTTTTATATTTTCCGGCTCTCTCGTTAGTCAGAAAATATATTCTTATCTCTGATAAGAATCAAGGTTTTGGAAGCCGGTTTTGAAAGTAAAAAGAGAGTTTGGAATGAGAATAGAAAAAATAGCTAGAATGTGAACATGTAAAATAATATTCTTAAATTAAGTTCCAACACTTCTAATTTCAGTTTCAAAACTTAATTTGGAATGAAAAAAAAAAAGTAAAAGTTATCTCCCTTTAAGTTTAATTAAATAAAAGTTATCTCCCTTTGGATTTTTCGGCGAAATGAACTCTGACAAAGTTAAGAGTCGATGAAACCAGTTTTGGGGTAAATTACATTCACTAATCTTTCTATCTCTTTCTTAAATCACAAAGACAAACCCATATTTAATCAGAAATCTTTCTGCTGCTACTTTTTTCTTCTTACAAATATTTTTATTTCACTGTTATATGAAATACATAACATTTTTAACATAAAAAGATATTGAGTAAAATACGATTTAAATACCAGTGTAGCAGTATTGACGGCATGAATCAACCCGCACACTTTTTACTTTACGAATATGTAAGCAAACAAAAAGCAAACAAGAGAAAGAACACAAGAAAATAACTTTTCATGACAGGTACAATATTTATATTTATAAATGTCAACGGTTTTACATGAATTATTAATACGAGTTACTTCCCTTCGACTGGGCTAACGTCTTTACTATTAAAATTTTTTTTACCTTAGCTCACAAAAAGTTGAATTAACTTGTCGTTCAAAAAATGTTCACTGAAAGAGAGTTTAAAGAATCTTGTAAAGCTGAAAATATGTTAATAAACTTTTAGCTTTAAAGAGGTTGGAGAAGTGAATGTTCCGTAATGTTTAATTTGTTTTCGTTGCTCGTAGTTGAATGTATTGTCCGTAATGTTTGTAATTAAGTTTCGTAAGATTCAGTGACTTGATTGAATAGTTTTTTATAAGTTGCAGAAGTTGGTGAGTGAGTTGTTTCGTTGAAATTTTAGCTTGAATTACAGTAAAGTTATTTCATGTTAAAGAACTTGAGATTCTAACTTTGTACTTCGCTGCAGTAATGATACAAGCGTCGTGAACTCGTTTAGCAAATTCTGGTCGTCGTAAATTCTCACTGACTTGGATTCGCTCGTACATTTAGTTTATATGTTTTTTAATCACGTGATAGGATCCTGAGAGCATTGTTTTTTCGTCAGGTCAAAAACTAGGTTGATGTTATTCGGACGTAGTGGTGAACAGGTAAATTGTATTTTTGATATTTGTTAACTAATCAGAAAGCGTCTTACAAAACTCAGTCTAGAGCCTGATATGTTTTGTTTTACTGATTGAGAACAATGTACGTGAAGATACAGGAGATAATTTTAATATTTATTGTCCAATGAGAAGTTAAGCTTTTCTGAAAATATGTATGAAGCTGTGATCCGCTTTTTGCACGAAAATCGACATTGATGAAAAAGTGGTAGCGGAATGCCAAACCAGAAGTAATCAATGAATCATAGAGACTGTAGAATTTTAATTCTACAACATTACAAATAGCTAAAAATAACTTGTTCGACTTTTGTGCAAAAAAAAAGGATCACGCCTAACTTTCCTTAATTCTGTCATTTAACAACGTCCTGATTGGACAATAAATATTAAAATTCTCTTTTGTGTTTCTTCATGTATATAGTTCTCAGTCGGCACATCTAAATATATCAGGCTCCAGAATGAGTTTTTGCAAAGACGCCTTCTGATTGGTTAACAAATATTAACAAAAATATAATTCCACTGTTCTCAACTACGTCCGAAATGAACCAATCTAGTTATTAACCCGAACGAAAACACAAATTATGCTAAGCAATTCGGAGCCTATCGCATTTCGACAGTGAGAACAGCAACAGCAACCAACTTGTCAAACAAATCCACGTCACTCCATTCTGATTTAAGCTAAAAGCTAATTCTTACTTAGCACAATCTCAGCTGTCAGAGAATTTACTCATCAATTCATTCACACAACAGCTTAGACTTATTTCTGCAAGTGAATTAACATTACAACATCTTCCAAACTTTCAGGATCATTCTATTTCAAGAGCAATTAAAGGAAGATAACTCTAGTCAAACTAAATTTACACACATCTAATGTAAATTTGTTTTAAACAAAAAATTAATTTTCAGTCAAAAAGGTTACTGCTATATTCCACTGTATGTGTCTATATTTCTGAGAGGAGGCATTATGTACACTATTTACATTATTCGGACTATTGTTCTCATCTTTGTCGCCATATTTATTACAATGTTTCGGCCTTCTTCAGGTGGTTTGAATGTCGAACTGAACCCTTTATTTCGCTCACTGGGGTAGACTGTTCTAGTTCCATGTGCTATGTTTTTAATACATGTCAGTTATCAATTATCTCCTGTTAATTCCCCTCTTAAAGGTCTCCACTGCCTTAACCAGGTATTGAACTCACACTCTTTGGGTCCTGTCATTGGACTAACTAACGACTTTATCCATTTTGCCATGTGTCCTTGAGGACATATGTATATGAATTTCTGGGTATTATAAACCTAATGTCTTCAGCAACCGTTTTTACAAGTGCTCATATTACAATTTTTGCTGTTGTTATCGCTTTTCTCTGGCACTCCTTATTACTGGTTCCCATAATGTATTCATTTCTATGCTTGGTCGGCTCAGGAGATTTTTGTGGCCTAGCATATGTGCTGATTCCTTAAGTTTACGAATTTTCCAACCACCTGAAGAAGGCCATAGCGTACAACGACCGAAACGTTGTAATAAATATGGCGACAAAGATGAGGACAATAGTCCGAATAATGTAAATAGTGTACATAATACCTCATCTCAGGAATATAGACAAATACTGAAGAAAGTCGGAGCGTACAACAGCCGAAACGTTGTAATAAATATGGCAACAAAGATGAGGACAATAGTCCGAATGATGTAAATAGTGTGCATAATACCTCATCTCAGGAATATAGACAAATACTGAAGAAGGCCGGAGCGTACAACAGCCGAAACGTTGTAATAAATATGGCGACAAAGATGAAGACAATAGTCCGAATAATGTAAATAGTGTCTATATTCCGCTGTTTGAAACTTTAATAACAAACTCTACAAAACTTAACTTCTTAGTTAAACTCGCAAACATCAGTTAAACGCACACATAATTTTAATTTAACGTTAATTAAAGAAACTAACTACAACAAGAATTCAATCAAAATTCTACGCGATTGTAAACCCTTTTACAATATAATGAAAATTGTTTGTTAACCAAATTACTGCTTTGTCTTTTCTCAATTTTGTTTTATGCTTTATTGTTTCATTTTGTTGAAGAATGATATAAATGTATGAAGGATATATGTTTCTTTTACACGAAGTCAAATTAAGCACACATTACATATAATAATATCCCCTACAATACCATAGAGCATCTAAAAACATAAAGTGAACGAATCAATTAAGCGGTTTATTGGCTTCTGTTGTGGTTGTGCATTTTTAACTCTGCTTTATTGACTCAAAGTGTTTCAATTATTTTGTTTCATTGCATTTCACTATTAAAACTTTCTAACGATTGCTGATAGTTATTTAGTCGTAAATAAGCGACAATCAAATTAACGCGGGTAATTTTTAAACGTCACATAATTTAAGAAAACACCATTCAGATATAAAAGATTTAATTTTCTACGTTTTAATTTTTCCGTTAAGTGAATCATTCAACGGTGAAGCTTCGATCTAACGCTTTTGGTGAAACAAGTTTTTGAACAAATCACATTGACTGTTATGAACCGGACCTGAAAACTAGATAAAACTCTATGTACTTTTAAAAAATCATTTCACTCCTATCAAAGACGATAATCTATAAATCAACCATTCGACCTTGCATGGAATTCTGCTGCCATATATGGTCTGGAGACCCCGCTGTTCGTCTTAAGGTCCTCGACAAATTCAGAGACGGATATGCAATGTGATTGGTCCTGATCTGGCATCTCGTTTACAGTCGCTCTCTCACAGTCGTGCCGTCGCTTCCCTCTGTCTTTTCTACAAATACTTTCACAGTAACTGTTCCGACGAGCTACTTTCGCTGGTTCCCAAACTGTATGAATTTAAAAGTGCTACTTAGGTTGGCATCACAGTCCCACCCTTTCACTGTCGAAACGGTTAAAGGTAGCCGTCTCTTCTACTTCAATAGCTTAATGTCTGGCACTTCCCGTCTGTGGAACTCCCTTCCTCTTACTTGCTTCCGTGATAGCTATAATCTTCAAATATTCAAATGCAATGTCAATCGACATCTTCAGATGCCTCGATCTAATTCCCCGTCCTGCTCTTCACCCTTTCCTCTATTCCGCCACCTTACTCTTTCTCCCACTTTCTGTAACCCCTTCCGTGATAGTGGCACTCCCGCCCTCCTTGGTGTGAAATGCTTAAAAAATACTACTAGGATACGAGGGATGGATAAAGGAGTGAAAGAGAATGAGAAAACTTTAGTGAGGAGATATGAGGAAAAGGACAATCAAGGAACAGTGTTCAGGAAGGCAGAAGATGGCGATTGACGTTGCATTTAAATTTTTAAAGATTTTAGGTAGCAGAGTAGCAAGAGATCAGAAGAGAGTTCCACAGGTGAATAGTGTGAGAAAAGAAACTATAATATTATCAATTTAGGTAACAGACACTGCAGGATAAAATGACTAAAAGAACCAGCGCACTTTTTTCTTTTTTTTTTCAATAATTTCGCCCCAAGCAAGGGCTTACCAGGAATGAAAGAGTATGAGAAACTTTTAGTGAGGAGAAAGGCCAATAAAAAAACAGGATTCGGGAAGACAGATGGTGATTGGCGTTACATTTAAATTTTCGAGGATTGTAGTTGACAGGGAAGCAAGAAATCGGAAGGGAGTTCCACAGGCGAGGAGTGCGAGAAAAGAAACTGTTAGAATAGAAGAGACCCTTGCATCTAAACTCTTCGACCTAGTTGCCATTCTAGTAGCTCGCTTAAATTCATATAGACGGGTCACGAGCCTCCCTTACTTCTTTTACTCTTCATCCGAATTCTCTCCTTCTACTACTCCTCTTCTATTATCCTCTTTTGTTCTTCTTTTTCACTCCTTCATTCTTCTTTTATTCCTCAAATATCTCCTCCGCCTACTTCTTTTTCATCTTTATTTTCCTCCTCTTTCCATGCATCGTTGTTATTCCTCTTCCCTCTTCTCTTCTTCCTTTTGCGCCTTTATTTTCAAATGCCTCCGTCTTCCTTTATCGCTTCGTGCTTGTCCACATCTTTTTTCTTTCTTTCTTTTTCTTCCTCTCTTAGTCTTTTTCTCTCTCTTCATCCTTGTCCTCTTCCACCTCATCCTACTACTTCTCCTCATATCATTTACTTTATTACTTCCCTTCCTCTCTTTCTCCATCTCTCTTTCGAAGTTGTTTTTATTTTCTTTTTTCTTCTTCACTTCTTTTTTTCTCTTCTTTCCATCCTCTTCATCTTACTTTTCCTTCCTTCTCTCATGTCTTCAGTTCTCTTTCTCCTCTTTTTTTCTCTTTCTCTTCCTTCTTCCTGTCTCCTTAGAATCTGTGTATTATCCGTAATCCTCTTCCTTTCGTCGTTATGGAAACGTCAAGGGAGCGAAGGATTTTCATGTCTCTAATCTTTCAAAATAGGTTCAAAGTTATTTTATACTGTCTTCTACTGATTTTTGTTACAATTGTTATAAAGCGAATCGGAAAGGGGTGATAACTGCAAAAAGAAAAAAAGAAAAGAAAAAAATGCAATTGTTATAGAAGTGGCGATTGCATCTAGCTAGCTCAACAGTAAAACGGTGAGACCTAACTGCCAAACTAGTAGCATGCTTAAATTCATGTAGTCGAGGCACTAGGGGGAAAAGATCATCATAACATTTGAAAATAGTTGTCGCAAAGGCAGAAAGAAGCCACGTAATGTCGGTGAGGAAGTGACTGAAGTCGAGATGCTTGATCAGTATCGATTACATTATAGACACCTCTTTGAATTCTGTCACGAATCTCGTAATGTACAATAGGATCCCCAAACCAGATATGGTAGCACGGAAGAAAAAAAAAAAGAGAAAAAATACCGCTAACGGCGAGAAAGGAATGAATGAATAAATAAATAAATGAGTGAATGAATGAAATGAAAAGTTCGGCTGACCGGTTTTCGTTTGTCTCTCTTATGAGCTCGATTGAGGAATCAGTCGGTTTTTCTTTTTTTCTTTTTTTCATTCTCTTTCGAATCAACAATCATTGTAATTATACAGGGTACCCAAAAACTTGCTCAAGGTCACTGTCTCGCAGTGTTGCCACTTACTCATATCTGGCAATACGCACTTCAAAAATTCCCGTTTTTTGGGGTCACTCTGTATTTTCCTTCTACTTCTATGAAGTATGTCTGTTCGAATAACAATAATAAAACTTTGCACCCAAAGAATATTTCTGCATTCAGGACCGGTGCGTACTACTCTCGACCCCTTCTCCACAACCTGGGGTACGGCTGATTGGGAGCCCTGGGCAGTGTTTTGTAACCCTCATTATCTTATCAATATTTGATTTTTTTTTTCTGTCTACATTTATATATTTTACAAATTAATCTACACACAACTATTAATAGATGAAATATCTTCGCGGATGTTCATGTCATCCTGGGATCTGATTTTTCTCCAAATCCGTGAATTTGTTTTGCTCATGCACTATATAAAATTGACTATTTTTTATCCATAATGTTGAATGTATTAAATTATTCAACTTTTTAACAAGAAAAATCTCAAGTTGATGCTAAAATTTGCTGCAAAACATTGTTGATTTATTTATGATGGAATAATTTATGTTATGTCTCTAATTTTTATTTAGATACATTGTATTTATTTTCCATATTTCTTGTTGAATTGTTCACTTATATTGCCTAGGATCCATTATAATGAGCTTACAATAAAAAGTGTATTTTATATGAATACTACTATGGGACATAAAGATCAAGCTTGGGCTTATACATAAGTAAAAGGCCACATTTACTGTCTATAGTACCATTTTATTGTTGACTCCATTTGGTTACAGTGGTTAAAGTGGATGACTATCGTCTTAGTCCTTTTTGTTATTTGAGAGTTCATGCAGGGTCGTTGTGTTTTTTGGGTGAAAGAAATTAATTTGTTGAATTCATCCTTTCTTCTTCCTTTTCTTCTGGAGTTGCCCGTCAGGTCAAACTCACATCTGATGAATCTCCAACCCTTGCATCTCCAACTGCTACATGGAACCAATTTCCCACTTCTGCTTCTACTGCGCACGTGGTTTTTTCTTCTTTTTATTGGGCCTGACACATCCGTGTTTTCCGTTTGAATTTTGGCGGGACGTATTGTCATTGGTTGATTTTTTTTACGACGTTCACTCACCCACATAAGCTATGTCCGGGTTCTGTTAGTTACCGAGGATAGAAACAATAGAAGGAAGGAAAGGAAGTATATGTAATAGAGAGAGTGTTTTCTTTGTCACTCTCTTAGTGAAAAGGAAAGTGTATATTTCCATATGATGTTACTACTACCTAAACCTACTACACTACTTTATGAAAATTGAGATGTGGTAGATTGTGGGGGCGTATCATAGATTCGGAATGAGGGAAGGAGACTCTTGCACCGGCCCCATCTGCATTTCCCTATTTTATTTTTGTTATTTTATTGTTATTTCTCTCTTTATTCACTTAAAAAAATTGACACACCTTCATTTAATGCAACATTTTTAATATAGATATGTGCCGATAAACCACGTCAATATTCAGTAGCTTCAATTTCAAAATAGAAAATAATTTTAAAATAAAATTTCCCTTATACAGTGTAACCCGGATATAAGAGAGTTGTCGGGACCGCAGAAGAAGTATCTTATATCCGGGTTTCTCTTATATCCGGGTTTGGTCTATTTTGCCTAGGTAAGTATGGGCTCTAATTTGGGACCAGAGAAAATCTCTCTTATATCCGGGTTTCTCTTATATCCGGTTCTCTTATATCCGGGTTACACTGTATCATCAAAATACAAAAAAGCACAAGACACGGAAACATGCGAATTACCTATTTTCATCAAGTTTAACCTAAGATGAAGTTACTCCTGCTACGTTCTCGGTCGAGTTCATTACATACAATTGGGTAATTGGCCAACATATATCTCGAGAACACGTCTGATAAGGTAGAGCCCCCCCCCTAGAGGTTTACGAAGAGTAGCTTAGACGTGGAAGTATTTAGCACACAGTAGGGAATGAACTCGTTACTCAGCCATAATTGATCTAGCGAGACAAGCTTGCTGACTATTACACTACGTCAAAGTTGTGATTTATTAAGCGTAGCTTAGATACCAAACAATGCTGAAAGTATGGAGTACCCAGTAGAGATCGAACTCACTACTCAGTCGTAACTGATCTCGTGAGACAAGCTTGCTAAATATTACACCACATCGAAGTGCCCATATAGAACCTACATACAAAAATATGTAGATGTGTACTATATTATTAATTTCTGATTGGCTACGATAGTTAGTGAGATAACTTCGTTGACACTATTTTTTCTAATTTTATTTTAATAGTTGATATTATAATAATTTCTTTTGTAAACATGTATAATGACGTCCTAGTCACAAAATAGTTTCGTAACTTCAGTTTAAGCCGTCAAATTTTTCATAACCTGAATTGAAAGCCAAAAGCGTAAACTTTAATGACAATGCATTATTGATATATTTTTTTAAATTTGACAAATTAATTAAGGTAAGTTTGTTCTTTTTTTGTTCCACCCCTCTTGGCACCATTCATTTTCTACACAAATTTGACGAAAATATTCAAGAAAGTTGTTAATTTAGAGAATAATGTTTGCAAAGCATCCAAACAATTCTTTTTTGTCTTAACTTAACCGATTCTCAGAAGTTTTTGCATGTTTGTTTATTACAGTAAATGTTTATTAATTGCTGGTGCAAGGGTCACGGGACCCTTTCCACGAATCTATGATACAGCCCCCCCACTCTTCTACATCTCAATTTTCATAAGATAATCTTCATATAAAATTTAAATCTTAGTGTAACCTATGTATAATGGATCATATGCAATATAGGTGAACAATTCAACTAAGTACAAATTAGAGACATCTCATAATAGATAAGTGCATCTTAAATAAATTGATGTTTTGCGGCAATTTTTATCATCAACGTGTGATTATTCTTGTTTAAAATATTGAATAATTTAAACACCTTCGACATTATGGATAAAAATATTTAGTTATATATATATATATATATATATATATATATATATATATATGTATAAAATTAATAAAATCCCAAATCGCCTCATATGGGGGAATATTCTACTTCGCAAACGTACCCTTACTGTGCTTTGAACTTCTTCAGAAAATTAATTAATGACCCTTAAAATTTTTCGCGGCACACCCATTGCAAACTGCTTCATCATTTGTTTCATCAAACTGTCATTTTTGTTACACACTGTAGTTGTTGTCCTGACTCGTATAGCTGTAAATATTGTTTGCGTGACAGTTATGTCAGTTTTAAATTTCTTAATCTCGAGTCCTACAACAATGGTTTTTTTTTTGGTTTTTTTTTTTTTCGGCAGTGTTTGAAAGTTTCATTCTGTTCGGAGGTTGAGACGAGGGAAGCTAAATAAAATCCAGATCAAATTCATTGTTCGCACGCAATTTATATAAAAATCCATTCGAAACATTGGAAGATTAAACATGAAGGTGTTTATACACGGTTCAGTCGCATGTGCAAAACAGCCGCTGGTTGCTACCGGTTGTCCGTGCACATAAAGTTTTTATTGGATGTGTTTATTTTTAATTATACGTAATCGTAATTGTCCAACCATTTTTTTTAATCATTTCACCTCCAGCAAGGACACAAAGCCACTAAGACGCAAGTGGGGAAGTACTGTGTTAGAGAATGAGAAAAAATATCATTTGGAGAGAATGCAATAAAAGAACAAAAATTAAGACAGAAGATAACGATTGACATTGCATTAAAGTTACATTTTTTTTGAAGTTCAAAGTTTATTGGAAGTAAGAAGCCGGAAGTGAGTTCCACAAGCGAGAAGTGTGATAGAAGAAAAATTATTAGTAGAGAACTTACGGTTGCATCTGGAGACCTTGCCGCCAATCTAGTAATGCGCTTCAATTCATAAAGTCTACATACCATAGATGAAAGTTTATCAGAACAATTACAATGAAGGTACTTACAGAAATGGTATAGGGAAGCATTTTGCTCTTTTCTCTCTCCTCTTTTTTCTTTCTCTCTCCACTTTCTTTTTCTCTCTTTTCTCTCTCTCTCTCTCTTTTTCTTCTCTTTCTCTCTCTTTTCTTCTCTCTCTCTTTTTCCTCTTTCTCTCTCTCGCTCTTTTTCTTCTCTTTCTGTCTCTATCTCTTTTTCTCTTTCTGTCTCTCTCTTTTTCCTCTTTCTGTCTCTCTCTTTTCCCCTCTCTCTCTCTTTTCCCCTCTCTCTCTTTTCCTCTTTCTCTCTCTCTCACTCTCTTTCTTTTTTCCTCTCTCTCTCTCTCTCTTTTCCTCTCTCTCTCTTTTCCTCTCTCTCTTTTATTCCTCTTTCTCTCTCTCTCTTGGTTACATATTTTCCACCCTAGAGTCCGAAAGTCACGCGCCCAAATGTACGAAACTAACGCTCTTCGCAGAGCTTATAATATAAATAATGTTTCGGCAACTTGCTGTGACGTCTGCATTTGACTGACTTCAAACGACGCCCCCCCCCGTTTCCTCTGACTTGAATCTCTTCATTTATAGTTATGGACTAGTTCATATAGTGGCCGGGATATGTAGCATTTACTCGACAACACCCACCAAACAAGTTTTTCTTTTTTTTCTTTACAGTGATCCTTTCTCTGTACAAGGCCCAGGGACCACTCAAGGTAGAGGGTTACAGAGTAAGAGGTAAGAGGCATATTTTATGCGGATATGTTAGGAAGATAACGGTTAACTCTGGACTTGAACAGCTTAAGATTATAGTGATCTCGAAAGCACACACTCACTCTCTCACACGCATTGGAAGCAGCAGTTTTGGGGAAGAAGATACTCATGTGGAACTTCCATATCGGCTCTTCAATAAGAAGGGAATGAAGATGGTTCGCTACAATGGGCGTGGTATGAATGTCGGGACCAGGAGGGATGGTGAAAAGAGAAACGTTGCTCAGAGCCATAAATAAAAGAACTTGTGGAGAGACATAATCAGCCGCCTTGAAAGGACACTGTGATTAGAAAAATTGAGCTCAGCTCAATAGCCTTATAACTTGTTTCTCTTTCAGTTGACCTTCAATGTGTCCTGTGAGTTTCAACTTTTCTATTTTCTTTGTGCTCGAAAGATTTCAATTGTGTCTAAGTGTCCCTTTTTGTTTCCTTAAAGCTTTCTCGTTTTTCAATAGAAATAAGTCTTTTTTTTCTTCACTATTAGCTTCTAAATCTTCTATATGTCTTGTAAGAGGAGACAATGGTCTGATTTCAGAAAATGAGTCCAAACGGACAGAAAAAAAAATTATTTAAAATCAAAAATGTTTACGCTGTGATAATAAATCTTGAACAAAGAAAATAAGATTAATTTTTATGAGCACATCATGAGAATGGAGAAAATTTACAACTTAATATCATAGTCTCTTAGTTTTATTTTGTGGCATGGGGCCTGCTTCTGGGCTCCCCAATTTGGGCGAAAGATTTCACATTATGAAAATCTAGAAGCATTTTCTTAGTTAATTTGTTACTTTTTCGAAAGGTGTTATGGAGTGGTTTCACAGTGGAGGCTTGTATTTGTACTAAGTCGGCCCTAAAATAGGTTCGACGTACAAAACGTTAGGAACTTCATATAATAAGTATGACGCAGAGTAAATCTAGTTGTGGTCGCGGATACTTTAGTATCCGACTAACTGTCGTCCGGCATCGACTGACTGACCAACTTACTCAGCGACTGACTCGTTACTATTACTACTACTACTTATTATAGGTGGGAAAGTCTATTAACTATAGAATAGGTGTGTTCCACTATAACAGAAGGAAAAAGTGAAAATTATGTAACGTTTTAAAAGATTCAAATCTGTCGCACCACGAAAAAAGCGTTGTTAATTCAAGAAAGTTCAATCCTCCTCTTGCCCGCGCCATGGATGAGGCGGGTCAAGCCTCCTCTTGCCCGCGCCATGGATAAGGCGGGTCAAGCCTCCTCTTGCCCGCGCCATGGATGAGGCGGGTCAAGCCTCCTCTTGCCCGCGCCATGGATAAGGCGGGTCAAGCCTCCTCTTGCCCGCGCCATGGATGAGGCGAGTCAAGCCTCCCCTTGCCCGCACCATGGATAAGACGGGTCAAGCCATAACCTCAAGGATACATGGCACAGTGGATAAAGGCGTTAGTTAGATCCAGTGACAGGACCCAAAGAATGTGAGTTCAATACCCGGTTAAGGCAGTGGAGAACTTTCAGAGGGAAATTAACAGGAGATAACTGACATCCATTAAACAAGGCACTTGGAACTAGAACAGTCTACCCCAGTGAGCGAAATAAAGGGTTCAGTTCGACATTCCAACCACCTGATGAAGGCCGAAACATTGTAATAAATATGGCGACAAAGATGAGAACAATAGTCCGAATAATGTAAATAGTGTACATAATGCCTCCTCTCAGAAATATAGACACATACAGTGGAATATAGCAGTAACCTTTTTGACTGAAAATTAATTTTTTTGTTTTAAACAACAAATTTACATTAGATGTGTGTAAATTTAGTTTGACTAGAGTTATCTTCCTTTAAGTGCTGTTGAAATAGAACCATCTTGAAAGTTTGAAAGATGAAATGTTAATTCACTTGCAGAAATAAGTCTAAGCTGTTGTGTGAATGAGTTGATGAGTAAATTCTCTGACAGCTGAGATTGTGCTAAGTAAGAATTAGCTTTTAGCTTAAATCAGAATGGAGTGACGTGGATTTGTTTGACGAATTGGTTGCTGTCGCTGTTCTCACTGTCATCTCAGGAATATAGACAAATACTGAAGAAGGCCGGAGCGTACAACAGCCGAAACGTTGCAATAAATATGGCGACAAAGATGAGGACAATAGTCTGAATAATGTAAATAATGTACATAATACCTCATCTCAGAAATATAGACAGATACTAGATTTGTATATGTTCCATCCAGTCGTCTTTTAAGACGAGCAGATAATATTCCAACTTTCCGATCCATACAATAGGACTGGTTCAATTAATTTGCGAAAAGTTTGGCCTTTTAAGGAGGCTGGAAGGTTCGAGCGCCAAATCTTGAGAAGTTTGTTCATTTATTGAAGCGTTAAAATTAACAATCTGTTCCTTGCTCCAGTTTACAAGTTTCAAATATGCTTCAAAACTAGATTGAGTGAGACTAGCCTTTCGAGAAATAATGCAAGCATAGTTCTCCTCAACTTCCTATTCATCGTATTTATTTTAAAATGCTGCCAGCTTGATAAATGATTCCATCCTGACCTTCTATCTAAAGGAATTAGGCTGCCCCAGAGATTCTGACTCTGGGGAGAATATTTAATTATTACCGCTTCAGCACACAGCCTATTATTAATATTTTAACCTTTGGTCTCCGGCTGACAATTATGATGAATGAGTTTCACATAGCTTGCAATGAACACTGGATTGGATATTCAAGGTTTGTAATGCTACACTGTCCTACGGCCACATGACGTTGAAACACCGGTTCCCGTACGATCGCCGAAGTTAAGCAGTGTCCAACCTGGTCAGTGCCTAGATGGGTTACCTGTGACACTTTTTCTTCTTTTCTTAAATAACTAATCTTGTCGATTTGGTGGTGTAAGGATCTACTTGATTAGACTGCTTAGTGGCATCGATTTTGGACATGTTCCTAAAAGAAGTGATTCGCATATCTGTATATAAAGAACTCCAGTTATATATATATATATATATATATATATATATATATATATACTTTTGGATAATAAGTGCGACATTACTGTAATTATTGAACAATATAGTTCATGCCACTTTGACAGAAAATTTACCAGTAAAAAAATTCGTTCATCTCCATATTTGTACATGAACACACAACTGTAAAAAATTTAAAATCAAACTCAGCGTTGCTACTGCGTGCTCCAAAAACAATAACTCATTTCCAATAGCATTTTCGGATACAACAATACATATATTTTCGTTGTCCTCTTATTACTAAGAGAAAAAACAAGAACAACATCTATTCCATACCTGAAGATGTCTGTAGGAACAGACGAAAGCTTGTAGTAAAAATAAGAACTAATACGGCAGAAATTTATAGAAACAAGGATCTTTTCATTCATAACGGATTCGGAGGTTTTTGTATATTATTTGAATTGTTTGCGATTATGGATTTCTCGCCAATTAAATCATTAACCTTTGCATTTGTTTTTGTGTGAATAATTCATGAATATATATATATATAATTTTTTTAAAAGCATTTCACCCCAAGCAAGGCGGGAAGCCACTAGCACGCAAGGGTTTACAGAGAGTAGGAGCGAGAACAAAGATGAGTGATAGAGGAAAGGATGAAGAGACAGGGGATAGATCAGGGCATCTGGAGACGTCGATTGACGTTACATTTAAATAGTTGGAGATTATAGTTATCTGGAAAACAAGAAATGGGGAGGGAGTTCCATAGGCGAGAAGTGCGAGACATGAAGCTATTGGAGTAGAAGAGACGGCTACATTTAACAACAGACAAAGAGTTATCTCGTTCTAGTCGTCTTGCCATCGATGGCAAGAGGACTAGAACGAGATAACTACGACTTTTGTCTTTTTTTTTGTTGTTTTTTTTTCGTTGTCTTTTTTTCGTTCTCCTTTTCGTTGTCTTATTCGTTGTCTTTAATTGCAGATAATCGGTACCTTGTGTCTAAGCCAGTAATGAAAATTCGTACTCTCAACTAGAAAGCATTTTATGGCAAACAATTATTGAAAATATAACTTATATACAAAACATCAAAAAAAAAAAACTGTTGGCTATTAGAAATCTGGCGTTTAAAATCAAATTTCGTAATTGAGATTTGGCAGTTAAAGTGTTAAATCGTTATTTATTTATTTATTTATTTTTAATGCTTCATCTGCGTATGCCTCCTTGAGGTGATAGATATTATGAAGTTTCCGGAACGTCTATTTAAAGAAAAAAATACGCAATATTATTGGTCCTGACCTAGGATCTCAGTATCAGTCACTTTGTCACCCTCGTAAAGTAGACTTTTCTATAGATACTTTCATGGTAATTAGTCGGATGAACTTTTCTGGATGGTACTTAGAATGTATGAATTTAAATGCAGTACTAGATTGGTAACAAGGTCACATCAATTTACAGCTGACGTGCCTAGATGTAACCGTAAGTTCTATGCTAACAGTTTCTTCTCTTGCACTTCTCGCTTGTAGGCCTCACTTCCGACTTGTTTTCCAGATAACTTTGATATTCACAAATTCAATCTTTATCTAATGTCCTCTTGATTTCTCTTATATTGTTCTCCCTCCTTAATAAGGTTTCTGATTTTTAATTATTTTTTCACAACTTCTTGTCTTAATGCCTTGCCTGTGCTGAAAGGATTAAAAAGAGAGAAACAAACAAAACGATTACTATTTTTCCTATGATTTAAACAGCAATCATGAAGCATGAATTCAAAAGTAGGGCCAGTTATGTGACATCGGTTACCTGACATTGGTTACCTGACCTTGGTTAATTTTATTACTTTTAATAAATGGTTCCTCCTTGCCATCGATGGCAAGACGACTAGAACGAGATAACTACGACTTTTTTTGTTGTTGTATTTTTCGTTGTCTTTTTCGATGTCTTTTTCGTTGTCTTTTTTGTTGTCTTTTTTTTTTCGTTCTCCTTTTCGTTGTCTTTTTTTTGAAGCATGAATATATATATATGTGTATTTTGTGTGTGTTAAGAGGTCCACCTTTTTTTTTCGTTGCCTTTTCATACAAGTGGACTCGACCAGTGTGTACTTAATAAACTGCTGCCGGTGAATGACCAGAAGATCGAGTGATAACAGAGATACACTGTTAGAGGGTTTTGATACAGTGAGATATGTAGGTAGCCGCTTTGTAGGGAGTCAGAATTGCTTGTTCTGCACGTAGACTCAGAAGGTAGTCCTACTTCGATACTGAATTTCCCAGACTGTACTATATATATTATTATTGCTACTAACCGCATTTCTGGATCGACTAACTGTATTACCAATTGTATTATTACGTCAACACATTTATTTGCTATATTTCATTCCTGCGTTTGTCATTCATTTGAGACTGGATTTCATCTCGGAATTCACAACAAATATATATATATATATATATATATATATATATATATATATATATATATACTAGCAGCATGGCCCGGCATTGTCCATGCTTGATTCAAAAATCGTACGGCTCCTACAGCAATCGCTATCACTTGACTTGATATTTTTGCTCTTCCCTGCCTTTAAAGGAGTGCCCTTTGCCGTGCTGATGTTGCTACATGCCTTACTTCTTGCCTATCTCACACTGCGAATTTTTTCTAAGCTCTATACTAAACATTAAATCTGTTACGAAAAAAGAACTAAACAAAATGAACACAAAACGATCAGCTTTAAAAAAGGACTCGTAACTGGAAAAACAGAATGAAACAACAAATACTTTTTCACACCCAACCCAGTTCTGCGGAATCAGAATCAACGTTGAGCAAGTGAATGAGCCAATTGGAGTAAAGTTCCATGCAGATTTAAATTTTTCCCACTTGTGACGAATGCAGCTATCGATTTATTTTTTTGCATGCTAGTCAACATTCGTGTCAGTCAGATGTTGGCTCTCACGCTGACCAATAGAATCTTCCTGCCTATTCGTGGCAGCCAGCTATTGGCTCTCACTCTGACCAGTAGAAAATGGCCGCAAACAACATGAAAACTGGCGTAGAAGCATGAAAAAATCGATTATTTCCACTATCGATGGGAGTTGGGAAATGCAAAGTCGGTCTTGGCCTTCCCGCTAACTTGTAAATTTTGGTGCAGATCCGTCGAAAATTGCGGCCGTGCATTCATTACTCACACACACACACATCATGCCTTACACACACACACACACACACACACACACACACATATATATATATATATATATATATATATATATATATATATATATATATATATATAAAAAAGAAAGAACAGTAAGATATATAATCCGGTGTTCTTATTGATATTTTTATTTTTACAAAACAGGGCTCAATGCAAATTTACAGATCATAAATATTATAAATTAACTGATTTAAAAATATGGTTCCTTCGCTACACAAGAATTACCATGTTTCTCCCTAGACTTAACCTCTTTTTCGAACTTAACTCATAATTGACACAACAATAGTCAATAAAAATGAATACGCTACCGCCCCTGTCTAAATGATTGGATTTCTCTGTATCCATGAAAACAAGAAATTATGAATTGTATGTGCGTTTAAAACTCAGTAAATTTAAAAATAAGTTATTTCAAATCTCGCTTGAAGATGAAACAGAACTAATGCTTTTAATTTAATTATATATTTAAATTTGAAATTTTTAGCTTCCGTTTTTGAAACATGGTATTTCCTGTGTAGGAATATATATATTTGTGACTATTTCCGCGTATGTTAAAGCTGTTGCAAAACACTTTTCTTGAATAACAGATCTTCTTCATTTGCTGCTGTAAGGATCAACTTGACCAGAAGGCTGAATGGTCTCTTTTGTGATGTCAATGAACACTCGTTTGACACTTTTGTAATGTCAACGAATACTTGTTGTCACTGTCGTTGAAGTAAAGACTTTGTCATCACAGATACAACTATAGTAACGCCGTTGAACAATACTGGTGTCAGACGCCTTCGAATATCACTCGCACTAATAGTACTTGCTTGATAATACTCGCTTGACAAGTAATCCGTATAGTGATTCAAATAGAGAAATAGTATAGTGGTCCGTATAGTAATAGAGGATAAAATAGAAATAGCGATCCGAATCGTAATAACGGATAGACTAGAAATAGTGAACATTTAGACGCCGAGCTAATTCTTACTTGTGTGTTTCCTTTATGGTCACGTGCTCAATAATGGGATCGCCTGTGTTTATTCACTGGCGATCTATGTTCAAACTCAAGTGTCGACAGCGACACTTTATTCCTATATAACGGTCTCGCATAAAAAAAAAAAAAGATTTTAGAAATGTTCCTAAAAGGAAGTGATTCGCATATCTGTATATAAAGGACTCCATTTTATTTATTTATTTCTTTTTAAGTAAAATCCGCCAGTATGGTAAGGCTTACAGTCTATATTACGTTGAAGAACAGGAAAGTTTGGAGAGCCATGATCGCCAACGTCTTTGAGGGACAAAACAGATAGAAGGAAACAAATGAAAGTTTGATGTTGACAAATATGAATTTTGTATTCCAACTTTTTATCGTTACGACATCACATTTTCAAGCTTACGACCACATCACGTTGAAACACTGGTTCCTGTACAATCACCAATGTTAAGCAACATCGGGCTTGGTCAGTACTAAGATGGGTGACCGCTTGGAATATCAGGTGCTGTAAGCTTGGAAGTGCTGGTGGTATAATCGATAATGATTCCGAATTGTTAATCGGAGACCCGAGTTCCAATTCCAGTTAGGTTCGTAATATTTATTTAAGCGCCAATACCCTTGGGAAAGGTTTGGATCTACCTTCTCCTCTCCCCACCTATGATTTAATTAGTAAAACTTGTATCACGATTTGTATCGCTTACCGCTGTATTATCGTCAAAAAATAAAATAAAATTCTTACAATTTAAAAAACGTTAAGATTTCATTGGACTGGGTTTATTTGCAGTGTTGTGACTACACTTGAAGTTTAAATAAAAGATTAGACGAACACAAGAGACATTAAAATATAAAAAAAACGCACACAAAGAGATTGACCACGATTTTGATATAAAGAATGCAACCCTAATTAAAAGAAAATAATTTCTTGGGAAAGATTCCTTGGATCATTGTTTGAATAAAAAAAAAATGAAAAAAGATTGTTCCGTGTTCAAATAAAATGTTATGCACTTAAAATGTCGGATACACAAATTTTAACTGTAATTATGAAATGAAAGTTAGAAAATTCTTTGGCTATACGTAAATGAACATGAATAGACTTTCATTGAGAAAGAGGAGTTGGGAGACAGGATCAAAGGGATTTCGCTGTTGTTTTAATGAGAAAGACCAGACGACGAAGTTGACTCGTGTCTCTTTACTGCTGTCAGTCATTCTGCTGAGTTGAATGAATGTTTGGTCTTTATGAGTAGGCTCCAGAATCTTATGTTTATTTACTGACGGGAGCTGATTTTATTGGCTATTTATTTTTATTAAATTGAAAATTTGAAGTTATGTTTGTGTTGTGGTAGGATCCACCTAATTTGCATAGTGGAGTACCGACCATATAAATATGGTTGGTACCAGGGAGACGAGGGGAGGAATCAAGAGATTCAACCAGAGACTCTGCCCGTCTGCGACTCAGTCAACACATTCTCCAGGAACGGGTTACCAGGAATATACAAAAGACTATATGTAAATATTGTGTACACTTTCTTGTTTCAATACATTTTGTTCTAAGTACTTTTTGTGTTGCATTATTATTCCAGGCATTAGTCAAGTTTCAACAGTTTGAAACCTGGAAGGTTGCACGGAGCCCTTGTGTGGTGTGTTTAATTTTGTCATTTGCTCATTTGCCTTGAGGTTGTTCACTTCTGTCTATCCTACAAATTCACAAAGGCGAAAATGCCTAGAAAGTCCTTTAATCGCTAGTTTGTCCACAATAAATTTGCGTCCAGGTTCATACAACGAGTAGAATTTTAGTTCTACATCATTTCAAATAGCTGAAAATAACTTGTTCAATTTTGTGCAAAAAAGTGGATTACAGAGCCTTGATATTTCTCTGACACCTGATTGGTCATTAATGCTAATATCATGTTTTCCACTACGTCCGCACAGTTAAAATTAATTTACCGCCAAAAATCTGTCTGTATTTCGAGCCTATCATGTGACATACAACATTATAAACAGATAACGACATCTTCAACTCTTCCTCCTTTTTTTGCCTTCTCTCACACACACAAGATGTAGCGTTAGAGAGATCATGTTTGTCCCTTAAGGATAAACGCTATGAAACGCGCATATGCACACACACGATGATACGTACGTATGGCACATCTACGACCTATATTCATTCCTCCAACTACAAGGACACTTATTAAATTCTAACATCAAGATTTTCTTCAGCACTCTATAAGTCTACAACACCTTCTTATCTAAGAACATTCTTTTCATTGAGACTTACCATTATGTTACGAACTGAAATCTTTCCCTGGAGTCCAGATAGAAAATATACTAGAAAACTTCTTGAATAAACTCACACACACCAGTTAAACACACATTTTGAGCTTAAAGTTAAACAACAGACTACAAGATTTCAGCTAAAAATCTACGCCCATCCTGGATATGTAGTTTATCAACTACATCCGCGTCCTGGGTAGGACGATAAACTAAGTCCAACAGCCATGCCTCTGATCAGGAGGTTTTGAGGAGCGTGGAACCACTTTTTAAATGCTCGTGTTCTCAGGTCCACTCTGACTCGGGGTGGTAGCACCTGTTAGGGTCCCAGCTATGGGCAAATAGTTAACACCCAAACTTGTGTAAAAAGTAGGTTTTAATTCCAGAAATACTTAGTATAAATTATAAATCGTAATATTTTTTTTTATTACTAGCAATAATTTGTGAAGGAAAAATTACTATCAGCAATACCCCAAAAAACAGTAATACAAACAGCTATGCATTCTTGGATTGTACTAAAAAATGTGAGTTATATATGTATATATACACACCTTTTTTTCCAAACTATCGCTATGAATCTATTTCAAAAATTTTGTTGGCATTAAATGACCCACTGAGGTTTTGATATGCCATAAAACAAAACAACTAACCAACAAAAATCTACGGCATTGTAATTCTTTTTACAATATATTGAAAATTGTTGACCATAATATCACCTTGACTTATCAATAAATCAAAAAAGAAAATCATCCTTGACTTATCAATAAATCAAAAAGAAAATCAACCACAGATGTATTCACTTTTAATCGTAGATAACAAGGTTTGTATTGGATTAATATCTGGAGAAGCGGTGTATTCCATTAATTTGTTGTCTTCGAAATATTTTTCTCAAGGGAGGGAATATATAGGTGAACAGGTTGTTTTTTCTTTTCTTTTTTTTTTTTTTCATCGGTGCTCACCAAAATGTTGTGGATGATTCACTCACATCATACCAGCAGAAATTATCTCATGTTCACAAAGATAAAACATACAGGAAAAAGCAGGGTAAATTGTATGTTACTTTCATGCAATTTATTTATATTATTCTTGTGTGCGTGTATTTTTAGCTTACAGTTGTTTATGATACATTTGATAAAATAGAAGAAATTTATTCCGTAGTATTAGAAGCCATATCACAGAAGTTGGACACGTGCTGCTCGTACCAAGGTTCGTGGTGAAGAGATTGAATTTAACGTCTTTTCGCGGAATGTCCATATTTCCGACCGGAACAGTTTTTGTGGCATGCTGGGAGTATTTTTTATTAATTTTTAATTTATTTTAGACAATGTTTTTATTTTATTTATAATTTTTATCATTATTATTTTTTTATAATAATAATCCCTACAAATATACAAAATAGTTACATTAGGGCTAATATCCTCATCTTCGTTATCACAACTTCAGCTGTTATGCCTACCAGAGATCTTTCGGTCAATCCGGGTAACCTTTTAACTATTTAAAAACATGTATTGTCGACACGGAAAACACAGGGAGAGATACACAAAAACCAAACAACACACTCTGCGTTAGAAATTATACGTAGAATACAAGCAATACGATTCTGTTTTCGGTTCCTTCGTTATCAAAATGCTTCAGTTGTTGTGTCCACCAGACTTCTTCAGGTATCTGCCAATTCGGGTAACCTTTTATTTAATCTATGGAAATAGTTCTCATTCAGCTGTCTCGGTCTAAGAATAGCTCGTTCTTTTGATATTTTTTTTCTTTGAGTACTATTCAGATACCGATTTTTCTGTTTTCACTTAAATACTATATTGTGATGGCCAATCAGCTTATTTTACTTCAAATGTCTTGTCTATTCAGGTAAGGCAGACCTTAGCACGTTATATTGTAAAAAGCTATGCCTTTTCCATGTGGCAGAAAAGCATCGATTCTTTCCGGCGTCTACTTCTATTTTCAATGAAACGTTTTCCGTTTATCAAAGTTCTTAAAAAAAAAAAAAACTTTGTTGGAATTTTATATGCCATTTTAAAACCATGTATTGTCGACACGGAAATCACGTGAATAGCCCCTCCCCACCACCACCACCACGCAGACACACACTGTGTTAAAAATTATATACGTAGAATACAAGCAATACGATTCTGATTTCGGTTCCTTCATTATCAAAACGCTTCAGTTGTTGTGTACACCAAACTTCTTCAGGTATCCTCCGATCAGGGTAACCTTTTAACTGAACTTTTTATTTAATCTATGGAAATAGTTCTCATTCCGCTGTCCAGGTTTAGGAATAGTTCGTTGCTTCGATTTTTTTCTTCTTGACGACTATTCAGCTATCGCTTTTACTCTTTTCACTTAAATACTATATTGTGATGGTTAATCAGCTTATTTTACTTCAAATGCCATATCTGTTCAGGAAGGCGTTTACCAAAGTTCTTAAAAAACTTTGTCGGAATTCTATATCCTATTTTAAAAACGTGTATTGTCGATACAGAAAACACATTGATAACCCCACCACCCACGTTCTGTGTTAAAAATTATATACGTAGAAAGCAATCAATACGATTTCGCTTTCGGTTCCTTCTAAAGTCTGTTTCAACTCTATACTTCTAACGCCTCCACCTAAAACTCTGAACTCATTTACAATTGATTTACTTTTTTTCTCTCAGTAGGAGTAGAAATTATTTATCCTCTCCCCCAGTTCACACTACTCACTGGTCTTTTGAACAGGTGTAAAGGCTTACTCCCCGTTTCCTGTTTAGGGTTGTGTTTTCGGTTCATAAAGCCTTTTTCTTCTCTTTCGCTTCCAGTGGTCTCTTGTGACTTGATGGTATTATTCGCTTGCTTGTATTGGTGCCGCTTACTGTGTGGCTCTTGAGCCTTGTACATTATTAACATCATTGTAATACAGCTTTGAGAAAACGTAGCTAGACGACTGTAAATCTGACCTTTTTTGCTGGTTGGTCTGCATGGACAAAATGGTAAAAACAGTGGTTCTCTTTCTGTTGGATGTGAGTACAAATCTTGTTGGAGGTTGCTTCATTATTTCTGACTAGCAACCATACCCAACTGGTCGATCAGAAAAAGCGTTCAATTAGAATGAAGCAAAAACAGCATCATGTTTAAATGTAACATTCATCTTCAATTGGTTTAAAGTACTTTCATTAAAAAAAAACAAAACATTTTGAATTAATGCAGTTACTGATATAAAAGTAGACAGTATTTATTCAATCGAAGTTAGCCAAGGCCATGAAGGGGTAAAGCAGGCAACATGAAGACCCACTTTAGACCACAATTATTTTGGAGTTCTTGAAATTCAATTTGTCAGCGTGCTACCAGAGATGTAAAAGTGGATATATTTATAAAGAAGTTAAGTTTGATGAGAATTGGTTGAAAGATCAACGAAAAATAAGAAAGAAACCAGTAAAAATCGTTATTTTTCGCTATTTACGCGGGTTTTCACTAGATGGGTGGACTCAATGATCAAGTTAAATGACTGTTGTACAATCAACTTCTTGTTGGCTACAATTGAGTGAAGTTTGGATTAGATTGCTTGAAAATTGAGGGAGTTTTTAGTTTAAAATTTGTGTTGAAATTGATTTTTCGTTTTTCGCGGCTTTTCACTAAACGCAGTGGAGTAGTAATAAAAATGAAGTATCGGTGAGCTTGTCATGATGTAAGTAACCTACATACAGAGTTTAAACGAAATCTGAAGAAAAAGTTGAATTTATCGATTACTGATTTTTTAAAAAAATTATCGATTTTTTTACTCTAAGAACCTATCTCTTACATTGTTCAATGTATTTTTATTTTATTTTTTTAAGCATTTCACCCCAAGCAAGGCGGGAAGCCACTAGGACGCAAGGGGTTACAGAAAATTTAGAGCAAGATCAGATAGGAGTGATAGAAGAAAGGATGAGAGTAGTGGATAGATCAAGGCAACTGGAGATGTCGATTGACATTACACTTGAATAGCTGGAGATTATAGCTCACAGGGAAACAGGAGAAGGGAAGGGAGTTCCACAGGCGAGAGGTGCGAGACATGAAGCTATTAGAGTAGAAGAGACGGCTACATTTAGGAGTTTCGACAGTGAAGGGGTGAGAGCGGGATGCCAGCCTCGTAGGGCGCTGGAACTCATGACGTCTGGGAACAAGCGAATGCAGCTCCTCGGAGCAATTTCCATGAAAGTATTTGTAGAACAGACAGAGGGAGGCGACGGCGCGTCTGTGAGAAAGTGACTGTAGACGAGAAGCCAGAGCAGGGCTAACCACATTGCATATCCGCCTCTGGAGCCTATCAAGAACCCCGAGGCAAACAGAAGGGGCACCAGACCATATATGGCAGCAATACTCCATGCAAGCATGATGCCAAGTTTGGTCAAAATCGGTTGGATAGATCTTTAGTGAAAACGTATCACACAGACACACACAGGCATCCTCTGTTTTATATATAGAAAGATTGTAGAATACTCTAACCTGAACAGTATGATATAAAAAAAAAAATTAAGACGCACACGCTCAAGGTGTAATAAGAACTAAATTTATTATGGCCACCTGTTGGTTTTGCATCATGAATATATTTCAGAAACTTTCGCCTTGATTAAATCTTTCATAATTTTATTCAGCCTTTATCTAATTAGTTTAAGATCTACCAGTGTGGAATTAGTACAGGGGAAAAAAACAAAAAAACAAGTGCGTGTGCTGATGACGATAGAGTGCCATTCATTATCATACCCCTACGCAAAACTGCCAGGATTTTTATTTATAGTAAAAAAAGAAATTATCTATAGTCTGTACACAATTGAAATTAATATGTGACAGTTCAAAAATAAGCGAAAGGTATACTATTATTTACATTATTCGGACTGTTATCCTTATCTTCATTGCCATATTCACGTTTCGACGCAATTTCAACACTTTTCCTAACAATGTAACCTTTCTCTTTTAGCTGCACTTACAGAAATTTCGTAACATCATCTTTGTCTACTGGTCTCTGCTTATCAAATTCAGTTACATCTTTTGCTATATTGTTTGCGATATTATAATTTCTCATTCTTACAGGAAATAACTACATGGAATAATTTGACAGACGGTTAGGGGCGCTTTATTGTTAAGAGAAAACTGAAAAAATATGAATCGTATTTTAACACCTTTTTTTTTCATTACAAATAGACAATAATGGGTATTTTCCTTGTATGTTTGTACAGTCATCAGTGTAAACAAAAACACCTTCCTATTATCGCTAGTTTAACTGCTGTCAACGCAATCGCTCGGTTAGTCATAAACCTGTGGTACTTGGCTCGCTTTGTCTGCGAGGAAACTTTTCGACGTCGTCTAGGTGGCGTTGTATTAATCAGTAGAAAAAGGAGCCACTCTTTCATGCCTCTCTCAACTCCCAAGATGCGGTGATGACAGGAGGTTTCTAGGGGCGAACCGATTATTACTCTCAACCGAATCACGTGACACATATCTCTCGTACTCCCTCGCACTCTCTCGTTCTCTTTCTCGCACTCTCTCGTACTCTCTCTCTCTCTCTCTCGCGAGCTCATTCTCTCGTACTCTTTCTTTCTCTCGTTCTCTCTCTCTCTTTCTTTCTCTCGTTCTCTCTCTCTCTTTCGCCCTCTCTCGTTCTCTCTCTCGTACTCTTTCTCTCTCTCTCTCTCTCGCACTCTCTCGTACTCTTTCTTTCTCTCGCTCACGCGCGCACTCTCTCGTACTCTTTCTTTGTTTTCTCTCTCTCTCTCGTACTCTTTCTCTCTCTCGTACTCTTTCTCTCACTCTCTTGCACTCTCTTTCTCTCACTCTCGCTCTTTTACACTCTCTCTCTCTCTCTCGCACACTCTTTCTCTCTCTTGCACACTTTCTCACTCTCTCTCTTGCGCGCACTCACTCTCTCTCCCACGCACTTTTTCTCTCTCTCGCACTTTTTCTCACACAGAACAGCTAATTACAAATATATTTCAGTCTTTTTCTGTGCTGTTTTTTTTTTGTATCCCTTCCGATTTCTTGCTTCCCAGTAATCTACAATCAAAAATGTCTTCCTGAATCCTGTTCCTTTATTATCCGTTCCTTCACTTCTCTCAGCTAATCTTCTCGTACTATTTCACTCCCGGTAACCCACACCCCCATGCGTCCCCCTGGCATTGTCGCCTTGCTACGGATTAAACAAATATGTATCAAACCCCCACGTATCTGCTGAATCCATTTTTGAACGTTTTCAATCAAATCCCGCATCAAATTAGTTTCCCAAAATAAAACTGTTGAATGAGATTAAGTAAATTAAAACGCATTTATGCTCTCTTTAGTGGGGTGGGGTGTTATGGATAACGGCATGGATTGAGAAACTGGAGAACTGAGTTCAAATTCTAGCCGGGTTAGTTACATCACTTACGCGCAAGTACCCTTGGGAAAGGTATGAATCCATGTCTTTTCTTCCCAACTATGGGTTGAATAACAGAGCAGACAGGATCTTATAGCCTTGGTTGGAAATCAGTCTAGCGTAGAAAGAAACAGTAACCTACTGCGGAAAAATCTTTTGTCTAGTCATTCATGAATCGAAAGACATGATCGTCCAAACGTGAATCGCGTATGGCACTTCACTGACTTGAGGTAGTAATGCCTATAGCCACAGGGTCAGTATAATTGTCAGGTTTTGTAAAGGTCAGAAGTAGACAATAAGAGGGCCCTGACAGTACAGAAAATCTAATATTGCTCTTGCTACCGTGAATTAGATCATCATGTGACTGTAAATATTAATGATAATATAGACTCATGCTTGCCCGAGCGTGTATCACGTATGGCACTTAACTGACTGATAGATTTAGGTAGAGTGTTATCAATAGCTTTTTTAAACACCACTTTCACTTAAAAAATCCTGTCCAATCCCTTTTCGCTTTAAAAAATCGTGTCTAATCCCTTTTTCGCTTTAAAAAAAATCGTGTCTAATCCCTTTTTCGCTTTAAAAAAAATCGGGTCTAATCCCTTTTTCGCTTTAAAAAAAATCGTGTCTAATCCCTTTTTCGCTTTAAAAAAAATCGTGTCTATTCCCTTTCCGCTTTAAAAAGTCGTGTCTAATCCCTTTTCGCTTAAAAATCGTGTCCAATCCCTTTTCGCTTGGAACAATTCGTGTCCAATCCCTTTTCGCTTGAAACAAATCGTGTCTAATCACTTTTCGCTTAAAACAAATCGTGTCTAATCACTTTTCGCTTAAAACAAATCGTGTCTAATCACATTTCGCTTAAAACAAATCGTATCTAATCACTCTTCGCTATGAAAAATAGTGTTTACTGCCTTGCTCTTAAGGTATTTTTTCTATTTGAGTACGTCGTTTGCTTCTTTAATAACATTTTATATAATCAGTATTTTAACTGTAATTTTTTTTTCGATATTTTTAAAAGATATTTAAGCTTTTTTTATGTTCATGAAATACATTATCTTGGTTATTGCTTTCGATTTTGTAAAAATTGGAGGTTTTCAGATTACTAATAATTTGATTATGGGTACGAAATGTAATCACTATCAGGAAAATAAAAAATATATTTATTACCACTCATGATAATATTGAATAGTAAAAGTAAAAACGAGCGAGGTAACCAGTTTCGAACCTCGCTCAACAGAGCTAAATCGAGTTTAATAAATATGTCGAACAATCACGTAGTCAACACTTAGGCGGTGCCTCACTTCCCAATATTC